TAACCGAACTCCCGAACCCTGTTCTGGTTAGCTGACCTGAACCTATTCTTTTAGGGACCCTTAAGCTTAGGTGTTCCATGAAAGGCTAGATTCCTTAGGTGGCGAATCGCACCTAGATAAAAAAGGTTGGTGGCGACTCCCTAAAGTCAATGTCTAGCGATAGATCCCCGGATCTAGACGTTATGACAACTGAGATACAGCTTTTATGAGTATTAGGCATTGGAGATACTCTAACTGTCTGTATTCACCGTTATTGTTTCAAAAGTTTTTAAAGGTTCCAACCAATCTTGAAATAAATTTGATTAAACCATATTCATTGTAACATTGGGATTTGAGTTTAATCCAACAAGTTTCCATGCTAAGAACTCTTAGAATCTTAAAGGCCATTTTGAAAGATTAATGTCATCAATTGTAAAAATTGAAAACTTTGATGTAGAAGGAGGAACATGCATTTGTGTTTGAGAAGGTTGTTATTCAGTATCTATTGTATCAGAGTTGTGCACTTTTAGGTTATCTTCTAAAACTGCTACTATTGATTTTGTCATGAAGATTAAGGAAGTATATCATCTAAATCATTTGAATGAAATGACTCATTTGAATCTTTATCACTTTTCATCTAAGATTCTAAATTATATCTATTATGAAAGATATCTTCGATGGAAAATTAAAGAAGATTCTTTTATGCTATTTGTTAGAGCATTTCAAGTCTAGTATTTTGGAATGAGTGATATTATAAGCTATGTTGGAGGTTTTGGTTTTGGTTTGGGGTTTGAAAGGGTAGCAACAGAGCTTGAGCTTGAGCTTGGTTTTAGTTTTGGTTTTAAAGAAATGGTTATTCTGTAATTCTTCTAGTTTTTAGTCAACTGACTATTTTTCTCTAAATCTGTGAATCCATTTTTTAATTGTGCCAAAGGGAGGTTGGTCTAAATATGGGGTTTAGAATGGTTATTTTGACATTAGGGTAAAGAATTACCTTGGTTGTGTGGAAGGAGGTTTATATTGAAAAAGGGTTTAGCAAGTAAGGTCGAAGGTGGGTTGTATGGTTGGTAAGGAGAAAGAGTATAGGCTTGGTAAATAGTGTTATGCATTCCAGTGTTGATGCAAGTGAAGATACTGTAATTGGAGGCTGCTTGTTATTGCTATTGTTTATAACGACTTGATTTTGGAAGTTTGTAAGTTGGTTATTATGACTTTTCATTTTTTTTTCTCTATCTGTGAAAGCATAAGTAAAACCAATGTTGGTTTCCACCATGTATCAATGTTTTTGATCTAAAGTTATTATCCTTGTTTAAATGTCATGAATAATATTCTAAAGATTAGTGAGACTCTAATCAAAGTGGTGACTGACTTGTTCTAGCTTGTTCTTTATACTGTATAGATATGCATTTTATTGAATAAAGTTCTCTGTTTGCCAGTTTAAAACTACTTCTACTTACCAATGCTTTTCTAGTTTTTGCATTGGTCTTTATCAGTAAGGTTTAGGATTTTTGGGATGTGTTTGTATTGGTTTATGTCAAATTCTTGAAAGGCTGGTTTGAGTCTAGGTTTTTTTAAGCTTAGATTTTGCAAGGTTTGAGAAGTGATTTTATTCTTTTTTTTTTTTTAAGATAAATGACATAATGGTCAAACTTTCCTAGGGGTTTATCAAGGAGATCAACTTTAGGGTCTCTTTTTTCATATCTTTCTTTTAGCTTTAGTTGTGAAGACCTTTTCTTTGGCTTTTTAAGAGGTTCATCATCATCAAAGAAGCTTTTGTATCTGCCTTTCTGACATCATTTGCACTTACAATCAATGTCATAATAGCAATGTTCTTATGGAGATCTGTATGCATACACAGGTTTTTTTATCATACTTGAAATATGTAATCGAAACATTTGGTTCAGCTTGATATCTTTGTATCATGAATTGTTTAGGAAAGATAATTGAGGGAGGAATCTCTTTTCCTTTACTATGATCAAACTCAATTGTCATAGTGCCATCTAGATTTGTCTTGTAGGTAGGATCAAAGTGTTGAATTGGTTTAACTTTCTTCCAAATCTTTTGATAACTTGTCATCCACAGCCTAGGAAGTAGAGTGACAAGATCTTAATTAGAGATCTGCTTTAAAATGTAAACATATCTAGAAATTTTATTTGTAGCTTCTAACTTTAAAAATATAGCATCACCAGAGTTAGGTAGAAGCAAGTTTATGGCATGATCTTGAATTATGTATACCATATGGTAGTGAAGGATTACCTGGAATCCTTTTATCTCAGTTCCTACAATCTGCACTTGAACTTTTAAAGCATCTAGTAGTGTCATATTATAAAGAGACAAGTTATAGTTTGGGAAGACTATGAGAAGATAGTTCTTGCATTGAATGTTATCTTGACTTTGCTAAGTACTACATGTGGATAGTCTTTAAATCTTGTATCTAACAAGGCCATCTTGGTATAAATAAGAACACCATTTGGTTTAGCCATTATTGTGGAAATTCTTCTGAAATCTAAAGAGTAACAAAGTGCTCTTGAATTCCTGCTGAGAGAATGCATTGATCAAACTTTATGGCTTAAACATACTTTTTTGAGAGATTGATATTTTGGTTGTACAAGTGTTTTTATGGATTTGATAAGAAAAATAAAAGTTTTGGAAAAGGTGGTACAAAGACTTATAAAATGAAGATATGTTTTTGGACTTTTTTGTTTTCTAGAACATAATTAACTTTATAAAGAAAATCGAATTTAAAAGAAAAAGACTTTTTAATTATAAGGGAAGAAGGAAAAGGTAAACTAAATGAAGATCTAGAAGTAAAAGTTTGCAAACTACTATCTTTTGATATATCCATGAGGAAAAAAAAAACTTTTTTGGCTTTTCTTATCCAACTTAGTGATAGAAATAGATCAAAATAGGAATCCTATATAAAGTTGAGCTCTGATACCAAGTAAAAAGGAGGGATCAATTGCCACTTTTGGTTTCCGTATCGGTCCTATCAGTGGGGTTTGAGATTTTTGAGATGTATTTGTATTGGTTTCTATCAAATTCTTGAAAATGAGAAAAATCTGAGTCATAAGACTGTCCTTGTTGCATCATGCACACCTAAGGTAAAGGCTAGTTTGAGTTTGGATTTTTTGGAGCTTGGATTTTACAAGTTTTGGAAAGTGATTTTAGTTTTTTATTTTTTAGGATAGATGACATAATAGTCAAACTTTTTTGAGAGTTCACTGATGAGATTAACTTCAAGGTCTCCTTTATCATATATTTTTTTTCATGATGAACCACAATATCCTCAAATAGAATTGTCCAAAGCTCTAAAATGATATTCTATGAGAAAATTACCTTTCGATATATAATTACTAGCTCAAGATTGATAAGTCATTTATAGTGATTGTATCATACAATGATAATACCATAGCATATTAATTTATGTTATTACAAATCATGATACAAAATTAAAAATTATCTTTTTAGATTAAGATTGAGATGAAAAAAATCAAAAGAAAAATAATTTAAAATCTCATAATTTTATATTTCATAAAAGAAGATTATTTTTAATAAAAGAAGTGGAGATTGAAGGTACTTTTTTAATAAAAAATTATAATTTATATAAACATAAAAAATTAAATAAATAAAAATTGATATGATTAAGAAGTCTAAATTAAATTTATTATTTATGATATTATTTATGTATTTTTTAAGTTACTGACAACTTTTGTAGCAAAACAACAATTATTGATTTCTCAAATAAATTTGTAGAAATTAACAGTAATTTTAGCAAATGAAATTTTGGTTGTCAGTTAATTGCTCAATTAGGATTAGTGATGGCATCGGGTCGGGTTCGGGGCGGGTTTTGCTCGCCCCGAACCCGACTCGACTTTATACTTTAGCATACCCGAACCCGATCCGATTTTTTAAATACCCGAACCCGACCTGATACTATGTAAACTATACCCGACCCGACTCGATCGAAATTAATAAAATATTATTTTTTAAAATATAAAATATTATTTTTTAAATATAAATATTTAAAAATATCATTATATAAATATATATATAAATAAATAATAATTAATTAATTAAAAAATAATTTTTTATATAATATCGGGTCGGGTCGAGTCGAATTTTAGGCATATCCGAATTCGATCCGACCCCAATTATTTTTTAACTATATCCAATCCAATCCAATCCGATTCAAAAATCAAAATTAAAAAAAAAACTCGATCTCATAAGATCGAGTCGGACCAAAACCCGTCGGAGACAGGGTATTTTGCCGTCCCGAATTAGGATGTGCCTAGTATATATTGCCCCTGCAGAATCAAGCAGACAAAATTGTCTGCACACTTTAAGCTAAAAATAGAAAATAGAAAAAAAAAAAAAAAGACTAAAATAACGAAGACTTGGAGTCAACCGCGTTTCGTCTCCAAGTCGAGTTGACAGCCGTCTCCACCGACAAGACTTAAATTTGTAAACAAGTCATTTATAGCGATGGGAAAGAAAGTTTAGAGGAATTACTAATATGTTATCTTTTTCGGCACGTTCGTCTGGACCCAGTAAAATAAGATTTGTATCATATATATGTATTGAAATTGAAAGAATTTAATTAATTTAATTTGATTTATTTGATTTTGATTATAAAATGAGTAATTTTATTTTTTTATAAAATATTATTAAAATTATTAAAATTTTTAATAATTTAATTTAAATGAACGTTTGAATTTAAATTTTATTAAATTAAATTTATAATTAAATAGTTGTTATTAATAAAAAAATTATAATAAAAATTCGGTTATTTAATTTAATCGATTTGATTTTTATCATATTTTTTATTAAAATTAATTTTTTAAAAATTAATTTATTTTTTAAAATTTTAAATATAATAAAAATTTTTTAATCAATTTAATTATTTATTAAATAAAAATTAATAAATTCAATTATTAATTTTTTCAAATCAAATCAATTAAATCGACTAATTACTTACCACTAATTCCGTTTGAGTTACGCTAATAACTTGATCGGTGATTCCGAATTAAAATGGCTTTGAATCTTCAAACAAGCTTTCCTATAAATTTGTAACCAATATTTGGATGTTCTCCAGCGTTTTACCTAGATATAACCCAGAGAAAAAAAAATAAAAAAGAAAGAAAGAAAAGGGGTGATGGGCTTGCGTTGTATGTTTAAGGAGCTTGCTCTGTTTGCAGTGAAGTTAACAATTATAGCAACCTCAGTAGCAGCTCAAGCAAAACCCGGTTGCCAAAGCAACTGCGGAAATATCAGCATCCCATACCCTTTCGGAACAGACAGTCCTGGTTGTAATATCAGTGATGACTTTTATATCCGTTGTGACAACACTGTCATCCCCCCAAAAGCATACTTAACAACAAGCAATATTGAAGTTCTCAACATCTCTGTGGATGGTTATTTGCGCATCCTTGGTGCGGTAGGTTATGCCTGTTACAATTCATCAGGACGCAGTTCAGATTTCGGTATGTGGATGACGCTTTCGAAATTCCCCATATCTCATTCCAGAAATAAGTTTACAGCCATTGGTTGTGACACCTATGCTTTCATACGAGGTTCCCTCGGACATAAATATTCAACAGGATGTGTAATATTCTGTAATGATCCTGCCGATGTGATAAATGGATCTTGCTCTGGCATTGGCTGCTGCCAGACTGCTATCCCAAAAGGAGTGAGGAGTTACAATTTAAGTTTTCTTAGTGGTGACTTCCATTCCGATGTATTGAGTTTCAATCCATGTAGCTATGGATTTGTTGTGGAGGATGGAGCCTATAACTTCTCTGTTTCAGATCTTAACGATACTAATTTCAGATACAGGGAAGTCCCATTTATTCTTGATTGGGCAATCGGGAATCAAAGTTGCAAAGAAGCTGAAACGGATCCAGAAAATTATGCTTGTAAGGATAATAGCTACTGTAATGATGCAGCAAATGGCCCTGGATATTTGTGCAAGTGTCTTGATGGTTTCCAGGGTAACCCTTACCTCTCCCATGGTTGCCAAGGTAAAGATATCAAGTTCTCCATTGTGGAGAATTTTTCTTATTTCTATGGTCTCTTATGCGTATGCAATTACACTTTTTTGTCCAATATAACTTTTTTTAAATGTATGAAAATTTCCAGATATTAATGAATGTGACACACTGAAGCCTTGCAATGGAACATGTCACAATGTACTTGGAAGTTATAATTGTTCATGTCCTGAGGGGTTTGAGGGTGATGGCCGGAAAAATGGAACAGGCTGCAGGCCTAAAGTCAGTCCGCACCGTCGGAGTTTTCCGATCCCTGTTGTTGCACTAGGTTGGTTCATATAAACACTATTATATATTGTTAATATCTTTTTATTTGGTAAATACTCATTAGAGTATACCGTGCAACAATATTAAGATCAAATGATATGAAACCCAATCAAAGTTTAAACTAAATTAGTTGAACTGACCATTTTTCATATCCTATAGATTAGATCTATCTCATAAAGGAAAAAAAAGCTAAAATACTAATAAAAAACTCGTATGCTTTTATAAACTTCGGAGATAGGTCTTTTTGTTTTTTAAATTGTAATCAACTGGTATGTTTAAAGAATATTTTTACTTAATTAATTTCTTAGATTAAAGCCTGTTAAAGTTTGTTCTTTTTACCAGCATTTATGTGGATATTATCTTTTTCATACTAAAATTCTCATAACAATATGAAAATTAATATTGACTTTGGCACATACATGATATGCCATATTAGCGTCCAAAGTCTTTGTTTTGTCGTTTATAATTTCATTTAAACAGATGTGATAGAGATAATACTAATATAAATGTTCACACAACAATAGATACGAATTTTAATTTATTTTTTCACTGTGAAATTTCATTAGATTATATATTTTTTAAAAATTATAATTATAATCAAATATTAGATTCATATAAATAATAATTAAATAATTAAATAATAAATTAAAATATAATTAAATAATTTTAATATAAATTTAAACTAATCATGCACACAATAAAACTTAAGATCACAATATTTTTTAATTTTTTTTCTACCATAAAACCGAACATGAATTTTAGTAGTTTACATTCTGATGGTTCTTTTTTTTTTTTTTTTTCGTTTTTGCTAAAGTTTGTTGGAAAATTTTGGTTTTAGTTGGAGAGTGGCTTTAAAAGTTCATTTTCCGTTTTCCCTTCTTTTGCCTTCTCACATATGCAAATGAGCATGCACCATGAAAAATGGGTTTTCAAACCATTTAGATTAAAAAAGTAATATTTCTTTTTATTAAGATTTTTTTTCACTTTGCTTTCTGTATATGTTATGTCTTTGGTTAAGTTTTTGTTAGATGTAAATGGGTAGTTTTCAATCAAGTGAATTTCCTACAAATTACTATAATTTAAATTTAAGAAAAAACTTTAAAAAATCATTATTTTTTTAAATAAATATTATTCCCTAAAAGAGTTTAGATAATTATTAAATAAATAATAAATAAGTACTTTTTACAAATATTAACCATTAGGTTGATGCTAGAAACTACATGATAAAGTAATCTTTCATAAACATTGTCTTTGGGGTTATCTTTTCCCGTATGAATCTTTTATATATACATTTCTTTTATATTTTCAATGTTGAGATTGAAAATGATGACTCATGAATTAATCAGATTTTCTCTTTTGATAATAAATAATTAATTAGATTGATCAAACTGATTTTTTAACCATTATAAAGTTATATGTGTGTTAAAGAAATTTTGTTTGTTAAAGAAAATGTTTGAATCTACCATAACTAAATAATTGCCACGTACGAACTTAAGCTTAAAGTAGTTCATATAATTATTTTAAAAAGTGATATTTAGTAAATATTGGATTCAATCCTTGCATCTATAATTTTTTTTTATCTCCTTTGTAAAAAAAATATTATATATATTTTTATAAATAAATGATAAACTTTTTTAAAAATTAGAATTTAATAATCCACGTCTATTGGTTGAAAAACAAGGAGTTCGATTTTTTTTAAGTAAGGTTTTAATTTCAAATTTTGTGAATGGAGAAAACAAGTTCGAGAGAGCTTATTCTTTTTATGGGGTTTGATCTGGTTCAATTCTGGATTAATTGGGATTCAAAGTGGTTTCTAGAGAGATCCTAGACCCAAAAAAAAAATAATTAATATGTTGTTTATTTAGAACAAACCCAAAATATTAGTACTAAACATATTTAATCAACGTGCTAATTACGTGCTAGTTTCGTTACAGGTATTGGCATTGGCTTATTTGCCCTCCTCTTGGGCATTACACTGACGTTTTTGATGCTCAGACAAAGACAGATTGCTAAACTAAGAGAAAAATACTTTCGGCAAAACGGTGGCAATTTGTTGCAAGAACACCTTTCCCAACGTGAAGGGTGCGGTGAAAAGGTTAAAGTATTTGCAGCTGAAGAACTCGAGAAGGCGACCAACAGTTACCATGAAAGTACATTCTTGGGACAAGGAGGACAGGGCACGGTTTACAAAGGAACATTACCGGATGGTCGAGTGGTTGCCATAAAAAAATCAAGAATAGGAGATCATAGCCAAGTTGAACCATTCATTAATGAAATAACTGTGCTCTACCAAATCAACCACAGGAATGTTGTCAAACTCCTAGGATGTTGTTTGGAGACACCGGTTCCTTTATTGGTTTATGAATATGTGACTAAGGGATCCCTTTTTGACCATATGCACAATGTTGCTGCTCCGTTTCTGCCATGGGAAGCTCGTTTGAAAATAGCCACAGAAACGGCAGAAGCCCTTTCTTATTTGCATTCTGCTGCTTCTATTCCAATAATTCATCGAGACATCAAGTTGGCAAACATACTCTTAGATGACAATTACACGGCAAAGGTTTCTGATTTCGGAGCTTCGAGATTGATCCCATCCGACCACGCACAGGTAATTACAATTGTGCAAGGAACTTTTGGTTATTTGGATCCTGAATACATGCATACAGGTCAATTGACAGAAAAGAGTGATGTCTATAGCTTTGGGGTTTTACTCATAGAGTTACTAACAGGACAAAAGGCGGTTTGTTTTAAAAGATCAGAAGAAAAGAAACTTTTGGCTGTGTACTTTGTTTCTTTGATGAAAGAGGAGCGGCTGCTAGAAATCCTCGATCCAAGGGTGCTGAATGATGGTAACATTGAGCATCTTAAAGAGGTAGCAGCCTTAGCTTGGAGATGTGTGAGAGTGAAGGGAGAGGAAAGGCCGACTATGAAGGAAGTTGCCCATGAATTAGCAGGAATGCAAGCAATGGAGAGACACCCTTGGGGTAAAAGCAATTTACATGCAGAAGAAACTGAATACTTGCTTGGTGAATTACGCAGCACTTACACTGATGGTGCAACTAACAGCTCAATGGGATATGACAGCATAAATAATCAAGTCCCATTTGAACTTGAAGGTGCACGTTGACAGTATAAAATGTCCTGTTCTAGAATGTTTCTTGGTTCCATTTCGTATGCCATCTTTCTAGTTTTAAGCTGTTTGTTTCTTGTTTTCTTTTACCTGGTTGAGAGTAATCGTATCATTAAATGGCCTATTGTGAATGTAATGTAATAATCAGCTATGTATGAAAGCAGTTACTCCCATGTAATTTCTATGTTCATTCGTCATTTCCCTGAAAATTTATGGTATTGTCATCTGAGGTCTGAACTCTCGATTTCGTTAAACATGTTGCTATAGGATATGTCCTTTAGATTCATCTTAAATGTAATAGAAATCATCATACTTATGGTCAAACAGGATTGATTCGGGAAATGTTCAAGTCAGGGATAAAGCAATTGTTATCAGAGGAGTAAGTAGGAATTGACTGCAGAAGTACTCCTGAGTCCTAACCTGTCAAAGACTTCTGATAGGAAAAAACTATAATTTGATACTAATCACGAATCTGTTGAAAAAAGTAGCCGCAATGGTAGGAATTAAAGTCTGACTCGAGCCAGGCATGAACATGTGTACTATTAGCTGTAACAGGTTATTTATCCTCACAAACAAGAGCTATGCATCATATAAGAGGGCTCAGATATCAAATCTAAATGTATTCAATTTGTTATACTGCAAGCCATATCTTGATCAATGATGAAGAGCTAGTTAATATTCTTCACAGTAAATTCTGTATCAGCAGACCAAGTTGAAAAAATCTACATGAGTATATGATCCTGTCCATGAGCACAACAGAAATTTAAATTACAGAAGACTAGTTTACAAAACTCTGTGTGCTCTCTTCTGATCGTGCAGTCTCAAGGTAGATAGACTACAGTTAGCAGCAAGTAGAACTAGAGCTCTTCAATGACTAGACTTTTCCATCCGATGAAGGGAGACTTCTCTCTGTTTTAACTGCTTTCGATGTTGATGTTGTTCCAGAGTTGGTACCTTTAGAGGGAGACGAGGAAGGAGCTGGGAGCCTCTTGGGAAGCATCTGTTCCCAATATTCCTTAGGCAATCTTGATGCTTCTGAGAGAACAATGAAAGCAAGAAGAGTGAAGAGCAAGCAGTTGCACCTCCAAGAAACTAACATGTTTGATTGTTGATGATCAGGAGATGCCTGTAGCCTCTCCTTAACTTTCAAAGATAGCTTTAGAAGGTTTGTGGGAGCAGACATGTTGAGTAATGTATGGAGACTGCCAACTTGTCTGTTTGAGGAAAGATGTGTCAATGGCAGACAATGGGGAATTTGATAATAGTAAACTGTTAAGCATCTCGTGTTGTTGTTCTCATTGTCTAATAGGAAGTAGAACATGAGAGTGTGAATGAGGAATTTGAAGGATTTAAATATTCATTTGGGACCAGACATTAGCTGGGTATAATTTATTTATGTTTGATCTTCCAGGTCTGGTAACAAATCTTTGTTGTCAGAGCTGCTCTAGTGCTATAATCAGTAAAGCCACCTTGACAATATAATACAACAAAGCAGGAACAATTAACCAACTAGGTATATGCTAATTTAGTTCCATACAAAAAAAGCTCACATGGTATACCATGATGCTTCATGTTGCAGGCAAAATGTATATTAGTAGCATGAAACACACATCATAGGTTTAGTACCATCATAAAAACTTAGTAAACAGAAAAGATTTTCTAGTAATTTCTTCTATCCATAACTAGATTGAACTATAGAAATATGTAATATTCCAACCATTGGGTAGGGGTTGGATGGAGAGATAGATTAATATATAGCCTTTGGTTCTCTCCTCAATTTTTTCAAGTTCTCAAAAAGAGACTAAAAACTTATGGAGTGAAAAAGAAGAAAATGATGAAAACTTTATTGTAATGATTTGTGTTTTACAATGAGGCTTAAAGTCTATTTATATAGAGGTAAAATGTTACAAAATAGAAAATACAATAAATAGAAATAATGACTAGATTAATTCCTATAATCACCTAATCAATATCTAATGTTCTTTAAATCAATATCTAATATTCTCTAAATCAATATCAAATCAATCTAGAATATTACTAGAATATTACTAGAATAATATCATCTACTTAGAATATTACCAGAATTACTAGAATATCATTGACCCCACAGCAAACTCAAGATGGTAATCTAGAGGCCAACTTGAGTTTGAAAACTTAGACAAAAAATTGACCAGGTGGGTTTAATTTGGTGAAGATATCTGCTTTTTAATCAGCACTGATAACAAGAACAAGTCAAAGAGTTTGAGTAAGCAGATGATGACAAACGAAGTGACAATCAATTTTAATATGTTTAGTATGCTCATGAAAATCATCATTGTGAGCTATCTGAATAGCACTTTAATTATCACAAAATATAGGAGTACTAGAGTGATGAGAAACACCCATATCTTGAAGTAGCCATCGAAACCATAGAAGTTCTGATGTGAAATCTACAAGAGCTCAATACTTAGCTTTAATGCTAAAGCGGGATACCACAGTTTGTTTTTTTATTTTGCCAAAAAATAAGAGAAAAACCAAAAAAGAAACAGTATCATGTGGTAGACCGATAATCAATAAGATCTCTTACCTAATCAACATCACAATAACAATGCAAGTCCAAAAAGTAACTAAAGGAAAAATGCAAACCACGGAACATAGTACCCTTGACATATTGTAGGATCCAAAGGACAACGGTAAAATGAGTAGATCGAGGAGCAAACAAAAATTGACTAACCAGATAAACAATTTAGGCAATATTTGGATGAGTAACTATAAAGTATATGAGACTATCCACCAGAGTTTGATACAAAAAAGGGTTTAGAAGTGGTGTACCACCAAAAAGAGAAAACTTCAAATTTTGTTCAAGTGGTAATGATGTAATCTTGCTATTAGTTAAACCTGTTTAAGCAATAAGATCAAAAGCATATTTTGTTTGAGATAAATATAAGTCAGTAGAATCATTAGTAACTTCAAGGCCCAAAAACTAATTCAAAAGATCAAAATCTTTCATCTCAAACTTAAAATGAAAAAAAGTCTTCAGATCTTAAATACCATTTACATCATTACCCATAATTATCATGTCATCCACATAAAATAAGAGAAAAGTAATATCATTTTCAATCGTTCGAGTAAAAAAAGTAGAATCATGGTTACTAAATGTAAAATCAAGTTGTGCAATAGTGATACTAAACTTCAAAAACCAAGCTCTAGGGGCTTGCTTAAGACTATATAAAGCATGTCGAAGATGACAAACCATGTTGAAAGGTATAGATGAGCCAAAAAGTGGCTTTATATACTTTCTTAGTAAGATCACCATTCAAGAAGGCATTTTTAATGTCCATTTGAAAGGTTGGCCACTTTTTAGCTACAGTAATAGCTAATAGTGAACGAATAGATGTAAGACATGCAACTAGGGCAAAAGTCTCTTCATAGTCAATGGCATATTCTTGTGTAAATCTTCAAGTAAGAAGATGAGTTTTGTAACATTTCAAATCGAGTTTTGATCTTGTAGACTCATTTTCAATCAATCACTAACTTATCAAAATGTCATTTAACAATATCCCAAGTATGAGTTTTCTTAAGAGCCTGAAGCTCTTCTACCATTACTTGCTGTCACATAGAATTAGAGACAAGTTCATGAGAATTGTGAGGTTTATGTAATGTGGCTAAAGCATAATAACAGTGAAAATCATGAAGTTGAATGCTAGGTTCCCTTACTTGAGTGGAACGATGAAGTAGAGGCAGTATGTATGGTGAAGGGATAATGGTATCAATAAGAGCCTCAGTTAGATCAGAGATAGTACGAGTGGAAAAAGATGGATCATTGTTTGAGTTAGAAATACCTATAATAGTCTCTTCATTTAAAGAAAAATCAAACAAATGAATATGTAAAAATACATGGAGAAAAACATGGTGAATGTAATGAGGACATACTAGTGAACTTTTTATGTTCTCAAAAACTACATGTCTTGAGATACAAGGACATTTAGACATTAAATCACAACACTTTTATCCCTTGTGTTCTATACCATAACCTAAAAAAATAATATAATCTAACTTTAGGTTTAAGTTTAGTCTTTTCATGAGTATGAAGTAGAACAAAGCAAGCATATCTAAAAACTTTGAGAGAATGGTAATCAGTACCTTATTATATAGACGCTCATAAAGAGATTGTGTGCCTAATACTTATGTAGGAACACGATTAATAGTGTAAATAGCAGTAAGAACAGCTTCACCCTAAAAATGTTTAAGAAAAAAAGAAGAAATGAGAAGGGCATGAACTGTGTCAAGAATATGACAATGTTTTCTTTTAGCTCGACCATTTTGTTATGAAATATATGGGAAAGACCTATTAGGAAAAGTCATATCATCCTTTATCAAGTTATGAAACTTAATTTCTATATATTTAGCAGTATTGTCAGACCTGAAGATTTTTATTTTTTAAAAAAATTGAGTTTGTATCATGTTATTGAATTCATGAAATTTTGATAAAAGTTTAGTTCTTTGTTTGAATAAAATATATGCAAGTATAACAAGAGAAATCATCAATAAATATAACAAAGTAACGTAAACCTTCTAAGGTTGATATGGACGCTGAACTCTAAATATCAGAATGGATTAAATCAAAATGAACAGAGGAGATACAATCACTTTTATTAAAGGTAAAGCATTTTGCTTTCCAAGTTGACAAGACAAACAAGAAAAAATATTATGAGAAACATTACCTAAGACACTAGTGGAAGCAAAAAAACTTAATTTGAGAAATACATACATGTCCTAGCCTAGAATGCCATAAATATGAAGAAACTAAAGAGTTAATTGTTTGAGATGTAGCAGTAGTAATCAAATGTTAGGGAATTTTCAAAGTTTCAAGCTCAAACAATGTTCCAACCTTACGCCCTATCCCAACTTTCTAACCTATTTAAGGATCTTGCACAATACAGCCATATCATTGTGAAAAGTGCAAATTACGATCAAAGTCACAAAGTTGGCCAACAAAAAGTAAATTTAAGGTAAGATTAAGAATAAGGTAAGTGTCTGATATACATAGTTTTTAGGTTTCAATATTACTAATATGGCTTAAGATAGATCTATTTGCTGTTTTAATGATTAGATCATTAGGTACAAGTATCTTGCTTTTGAATAAAAAAAGATCAGTAGTCATATGATTTTTATAGGTAGTATCAAACAACCAAACATTATTTGATGTAGTAGTAGACATGGCAGGAATATGAGATCAAGCTAATACTTGATTCAGCAAAGTTTGAAGATCAGTGGTGGAGATTGTAATAGTTTTAAAAAAGAACTCAAAAGTATTTGGTTCAGTGGTTGTTGCTGTATAGTCTTGTCAATGCAAGG